AACAGTGCTCAGGTTTTTCGTTCATAGGGTCACTATGAGTCATCTACGACTTGACAGCACTTAACAACAACAACAACAATAGTATCAGTTCACTTCTTTTTTGGATCTTAGCCTTAAGTAAAGATAGTTCTAAATCTATCATAAATCTCAGATGAACATAAAAAAAATCCATATTTATATACAGAGATTTCTATTATTTGTTTAAACATTATATTTCTTTAAAAGAGTGTGAGAGGAAGAAAGACGATCAATTCACTCAACATTCAATTCCACAACTGTATAGCAGTGATGACATGAAGAGATGGTTAAATAGAAATAACCTTTAGTGCTCACAGTCCAAACAAATAAAGATCTGTTAAAAAAATTAGAATATTAATCTAATGAAAAGAACAGAAATGTATCATTTATAATAACTCATTTAATCAGACATAGAATATACTCAGTTTAAAGACTGAAAAATTAACAGAGTAGGATATTAATAACAGGATTTCTTCATAATAAGAAATTAGATGTTTACATTCTTAGACATACAGTAAGACAAGAATATTCCTTCTAACCACTTCAAAACAACATTACCCTTGAAGTCCTACTGAGAAGCAAAAATGAAATACTTTTGCTTGAAGGTGATATAACTGATATAACTAAAATCCAAAACAAATAAAAGAAAACAAAAAATCCTGAGCTTCTAAGCAATTACAGTAAGGTTTCAGGAGCCAATGGCTATCCTATACACAAGTAATGAGTAAGTGGGATTAGAAATTAGAAACAAATCATTTACATTACCACCAAAAAAATGCATAAATACAATCAAATACGTATGAGGTATTTAGCTGTCATGTGCCAGCAAGTCAGTTCAGGTTCACAGTGAGTCGCAGGCGACTCAACGGCACATAACAACAACAACAACAACAACACAGTAAAATACCGCCCTTTCCACTATAGCATCGTCCTTAAAATTACTGTTGTGCCTGAGTCCATTTGCAGTCACTGTGTCAAACCTTCTTGTTAAAGGTGCTTCTTCTCACTGACTCGCTGTTTACCACACATGATGTCTTCCTCCAGGGACCGACTCTTCCTGACAGCACGAGTAAAGGACGTGAGATGAAGCCTTGCCATGCTCACGTCCAGGAAGCATTATACCTGCACTTTTTCCCATGGTAGACTTTTTCTTTTTGCAGTACACAATATATTCATTGTCCTTCACCAATCGCAGGATTCAAAGGCAACAATTTGCTAGGTAGAAGCTTAGAGAGTATAGATGTTGAAGTATTCTACCACACAGGCAGTCCCTGGGCATGAAAATCAGATAATGGACAATTCATAATTGCACTTTAACATTCAATAAATTTGAGGGGAAAAAAAGAAAAAAAAAATTTGTTCTCATTTTGAAATGACTACAGTAACGCCCTACTTGCAATAGATCCGTCATCATAATAAACTTCATTCGCTACAAAGTACATATTTTAAAACCAGTGAAAAGGCTTTTCAAGTGTTGCCTTGCACTAAACAAAAACTAGACAAAAAAAGGAAGACCTGTTCTGACTTACAAATTCAACTTAAACAGGTCTTGTTTACAACCCAAGGGCTGCCTACATTTGGAATCATTAAATAAGCAATCTTCACTGTCTTGAGGGAGAAGAAAAGTGGTTTTCCTAACTAACGTTCTATTTCATGTAAAAATTATTCAAATACCTTTGATAATGTTAAATAAGTATAATTTATTTTAAAAAATTACATGCTAGGGGAGCTCTGGTGGCCTAGTGGCAAGAAGCTGCAACTACAATCCCAGAGGTGCACGGTTCGAATCCACCAGATGCTCTGCCGGGGAAGGAGGGGCAATCTCCTCCTGTACCAGTCAGATCTGATTTGACGGTACACGCACACAAAAATAATAAAATAAAATAAAAAAAAATTACATGCTAAAGAATAATAAAAAGGTTAAAATGTCTGATTATCCAAAACTGCTACTTTCTCAAAAGAATTTTCTTTAATGAAAGTGTTACAGATATGTAAAAGCCAAAAAAACAGAATTTAAAATTAGCATCCATCACAGACAAACAACTTTCAATTTCTCGGAAAAATGGGACTCTAAAAAACCAGAGAAACATCACTAGGACACATGTTTCAAAAAGTAAAAAAACCCTCCCCTACAAAGGGCAGTCAAATGGTTGAGGAGTGAGGAAGAAAAGGCAAATAATTTTAGAGAAAAAGCTCAATTGTGACTAACTCATTCTCTAAGAAACCAGTTTCATTTTACTTCTGCTGAGTAAAGTAAGAGTTTGATTGCAAAAGATCTACTGTCAACAAACAGACTTGATTAAGGCTTATTAACAAGTGATCTGGCCCAGTTATTAAATATGTATTCTATAAATAACCCAAAAAATGTTGATATCTGCCTATCCCATTTAATTGATGGTTTTACTCTTCTCCTGAGTAAAACTATGAAAAAGAATAAAGGATTTCTAAAGTGATACTGTTTAGAAGAGAACATCACAAACCCTATTTAGTATTTTGTGGGTAGTTGCATTCTATCAGCTCCTAAACAAACATGGCCTTCACCTGAACTACCTGCTCAAATGGCAACAGGAATTATAATGCCTTAAAAACAAACAAACAAAAAAAAAAACCCAAGTCTTGCTGTTGTCAGAAGTCCAATAAAAATCTTGAAACCTGAGCGAATGGTTATATATAGAGTCCATGCACGAGGGTCACTTTACTCTCAAGAACTTTACATCCTCAGAATTGAGTTTTGTCTGTTCTTGGCTGAAATCGTATCAACTCATGAAGAAGAGTTCATAAGAAATCATTTACATGTGGTGACCTTAAAACAAAATTAGCACTTCATCAAGAGCTGACACAACACTAAAATCTACATGAGTCTAAAATTCATACAAATAAATGCTAATAAAAAGTATGCTCAGTGATAAAAATCAGAAATCAATAAATAACGTTGATGGGAAGACTCTACAAAAACCCAAACTAGGTATTTTTTTCTTCCTCAGAGATCTTATGAACCTCCATGAATGAGGCTACATATAAACACTTGAAGTTTGCCATACAGTAGTGGCATGCGTTTGCTTTGATGTTGGAAGCGATACTATATATATTTTAAAAACCAGAAATATCAATGAGTGGACTTTTTTCACTGGAACTTCCACACTAAGATAGATAGGAAGAAAGATCTGGCAATCTACTTCCAAAAGTTAGCTATAAGTTAAGTTTCTATGGATCACAAAAGAAAATTGTCCAACCAACCTGGCTTTGGACACATCATCACTACAAAGAACGGCATGCTTGGTATAATAAAGTGTCAGGTGAGGGAACCCCTTCATGAGACTGAATGACACAACAGCCATATTGATGAGTATGTTGACTGTGGGAGGATCATGCTGAACCAGGTAATATTTCAAAACATTGTATAAGGTCACCATGAGTCAGAATTGACTCCATAGCAGTTATCCAGCTATCTGAGGGCAAATATATCACTGACTACAGATAAACATTAGAAAGTTATTATTTACCATTTTCAAATATAACTTAAAATTCTTAACTAAATTGCTGTTGTTACGTACCGTTGCATCAGAAACAATTCATAGCTGGCCCTCCAGGTGGCTTTCAGAGGCAGTATAATTGCATGGGAAGAGATTACCCATCTTTCTTTGACAAGCAGCTAGAAGATTTGAACTGTGTGCCTTCAGGGTGACAGGGTAGCCCCTTATCACTAGGCTACCAGGCAAATGCAATAATTTTCCTAAGAACTAAAATAGTGTAAAACCATTCAAAACCAATATATTTTAAAAGACATATATAAGATAAATTACAACACTAAAGGAATAAATAACTAAATAACGTATATGAATGGCATAGAGAGCCCTGATGACCTAGTGATAAGGAATTGAACACAAAGGAGAAAGATGAGCAATCATCTGCCATGTGATTTATAACAGCAGCAGCGTGAATGGCATACAAAAACTCTCTCAAACTTTGTCTCAATCTATCATTTCAATCTAATTTCCCAAGCTCCCTATCGGCCTTCCCATGAGTTAACTGTACCGTAGCTCTAGATTGGTTCACTGCTGATCCTCCAGCTGAACAGAAAACCTCCTCTGCATTTATTAAAATCCTATCTCCTCCAAGACCAAGTTCTAGTTCACACTCTCCACAAAACTTTCCTAGATTTCTAAAATATCTTTTCTATTCTCATGTTCCCCAAAGCTAATTAAGTATCTTTAAAAGTAAGGCAATTTCTTCCTACTCTGAAGTTACATTAAAAAAAAAAAATTAAATATTATGTAGCTTCTAGCATTTCTTACTCGTTTAATTTTTCAAACATTTGCTGTGACTTTTAGGGCACAAGCAATCGGAATTGAATGTAGAAACTACATATTTAATAAGTCTGTTTTTATTAAATTAGCAGTAGTTTCGTGGTAATGGCTTGAATCTCCTCAGAATATGTAGGTTATTGGCCAAATTAGTCAAGCCAGATTAAAAACCAGGTGCTGAGTAAGTGGAACAATTACCATTGTCTGAAACCAAATGACACTAAAAGTCACTACCAGAAAGACACATTAAAAAAAAAACCAAAAACATATTCAAGTCGCCACAGACATAGCTACTGCAGAGAATAGAAAGAATTTGGTTACCTTAAGATTCAAGAAATATAACAAGTTTTAAAAACGCACACATGAGAAATAGCACAATAGTATGACCCTTACTCTAAAATGTAATAGAATACAGATAGACCACTTACATAATCCATGAGACAAACATCTTTAAAGTGTCTATGTTTCGTATATTCTGTACAAAGCTAAACATCAGAGTGATATTTTTCTTTACATATTTCATTAGTGTAATCATAAAGTGATGTCTTCAGTGACATTAAAAGTCTTTCTATGGGGGAAAAATCCTCCTATGTACTTTAGACAGTTAGTAGTCCACTAATATGAAAAGCTAAGGTCTTTCTTTACACATTTTTTATTGGAAAGAATTAAAATTCGTACCATCATCTTTTCAAAAAGTTCTAAGACTTCACTCTCTGACAGTGGCTTTGGATTGCTTTCCATCATTTCTGAAGATGCCGAAGAACAATCATTACTTGCAAATCCAGTCTTCAAGTTGGAGACAGGTGGTCTCTCTTTTTTGCTCCCTGGAATTCGTATGCTGGCAAATTTGTCCAACTACAAAGAAAAATAAAATAGTACATATATAGGTTATTTCTTTCCACAACAGAATTCTTTATCTAATTCATAAAGTGGGGCAGGGGCGAAATGAGGGTCAATTACATTACCATTGTGATCCCACTGAGAAGCATTAGCACTAGAGCTTTTAAAATTCTAAAATAGTAATGTAATTATAAAGGAAAAGTTTTTAGCAACAACCTTATCTGAAGGCAGGGAGGAAAGGGGGAAAAAAATCCCTCAGAAAGCCTGAAAAGTGTACCTAACCCATTCCCAGTAAATACATTTTGCCTCAAAGCAACCCTCCATCAGGTTTCCAGATCTATACATCTTCATAAATGGTTAGACAATGTAATAAATGTCACTAATGGTACCTGTAGAAAATGTTGAATTGTATATATATTTTTATTCTTATTTTGAGATATATATAATTTCCCACAACAAAGTAAGTTTAAAATTTTAGAAGGAATAGGCCTAGTTACTATCCTGAGTCATTGTCTCATTGTCATCACTTAATATCTAATTACAGTAATATCTAATTACTAAGTATAGAGATGACGAACTCCTCTTCCCCAAAAATTTTAAGATGGTGACTTAATTAATATGTTAGGCATATAATGTAGTGAAATTAAGTAAAATACCATTAGGGCAATATCAATATTAGAGAAATAGAAACATGGCAATAAATGGGAATAGTATGTTTAAGCATTTGACAAGCTAAATTTTACATGTATAGCTTCATGGTTCTATCAGTGATACCCAAAAAGATCCAAACCCACTATATAATAGCTAGCTCCAAATTATAGACCCAAAGGACAGAGCAAGCTTGCCCCTAGGGGTTTGCAGGACAGTAAATCTCCATGAGAGCAGACTGCCTTTTCTCCACAAGAGCAGCTGGAGAGTTTCAAGCAATGGTCTTTGGGTTAGTAGCATAATACTAAACCCTCAATGATACCAGAGCATCTTGATCAGAGAGAAGGCATGTCATTTTTTAACACAAATTTTATTAACATAAATCTCTAAAATTAATGTTAAAAAAAACAACCAGAAATTCATATCGAACTTCTTCTATATGTCATACACTATGTTAAGAGCTTAAAGTGAAGCATAAGGGTGTATGCATTTGTTTAACCATTACAAAGAGAAAATTGCATGTTCAAACACTTAAGGACAAGCTCCAAAGCATTCTTACATACAAAAATCTCATAATGTTTAAAAAGGTATAAAAGGTGGGGGGAGAAAAATACATTTTTACAAGCAGAATGGCTTTTGTATCAACATATAGTATGGTAATTTGTCAAAGTAATGAAATAAAATAGAATTAGCACACTTCTCGCCTATGCTTAGCATCTAAACTACAGAAGAAGATTAGGTTTCACCCAAGTGGAAAAACAATCTGTATATTACTATCACTATAACTGCTAAAGGCAAAGTAAGATAAATTAGCATATCCTTCATTAAGCTTTTAAATCCACAGAGGTCCAAAGAATAATATGACATACAAAAGTATCACTGTCTTAATATTTCTATATAGTACTTTTATTCGTTTTCCCTGATTTTGTTGTTGTAGTGTACTGTCAAACCAGAACCAACCCATAGCTGACCCTCCAGAGGGTTTATAGAGGCAGTTTATCACATGAGAGAGATTGTCCATGCTTCTCCCATGGAGCAACTGGTGGGTTCAAACTGTGTGCCCTTAGGACTAGAGCAGCAGATCTGTTACCCCTAGGCCAGCAGAGCTCCCTTCTGTAATCCTTCACTGATTAGAAAGACAAGAAAAGAAAAGGCAACTTGTGGCAAAGGGAAAACCCTTCCTCCTATCATCTCCTTCCCCTTCCCCCTATCCTGCTCTCCTTTTATGGGATTTCTGAAGCTGTAGAAAGTACCTAAGGAGATTTCCCATTTTTCTCCAGTGGAACTGGTGGTGGACTGAACTTCCTATGCTAGTGTACTCAACAGAATTTGATGACTATCTCAGGTTTAAAGTAAAATCATCCCCAGGTTTTATTAAGCACTACATGTCTGTTCCACTTGATCCGGCACCATTACAAAATTACATGGAAAGAGAACTCTATTACAGAATAATTGAGTGCTTGAAAAAGTCTCCTTTTTTATTTTTAAACTTTCATTGTGTTACTGGTCCAAGGTTACAGAGTAAATTGATTTTCCATTCATTTCATACAAATTCTGATTAGTGAACTTGATGGTAATCCTCACAATATGCAAGAGCATGCTTCGTGCTTCCTGCTTATGATTCTCCTTTCCATTCTTCCTTCTTTCGTATCCCTTCAAGCCTTCTGAGCTTTATTCTTGGAAAATGTTGTCTTCTGAAGAAAATTTTTTTTAAATGGAATGTTCTGTGACTCCACATGTAAATAAAAAATTAGATACTATTTATCTTTTTATGAAAGTGTACAAACAATTTAGTCAAAGGATAGCACATAAAGCAATACATTTTTGTACTTATAAAGCTGAAAAATTCAAAGTCACTGCCTTCGAATCAGAACCAACTCATAGCTGACCTGCAGCAGGTTTTTCAATGCTATAAATTACACAGGAAGAGACTGCCCATCTTTCTCTCATGGAGAGCAAAGAAACAAGCATCCTAATAACTGAATCAACAGGCATCAACATGATAGAAGACCAAAGATCAAAGTCGTCAAATATTTCATTTCAGTCAGATCAAAAATCAACACCCATCATACAGCAGTCAAGAAATCAAAAGATGTGTTGCACTGGGGCAAACCGGCTGCCAAAGACCCAACATACTAATGATCTAAGACATCAGTTTAAAGACTGAGGTGCAGCTGACTATGATAATTACTTCATATGCATTTAAAAGTTGAAAAATGAATAAGAAAGACTGAACAAGAATCAACTGATGCCTCTGTACTGTAGCTGTTAAGGTCCCTTGAGTCCAAACCAACTCATAGTGAAACCTCTGGTTTTCTGAAGCAGTTAATCACAGGAGGGAATGCCCAACTTTCTCCCTAAAGCAGGTATCAGATTCAAACCACGTGCGTTTGGGTTAGGAGTGCGACCTCTTGTTACTAAGACATCAGTGTGCTGTTTGTTGTTGTGTGCCATTCAGTTGGAACTGATCCGTAGCTGACCCTCCAGTGGGTTTTCTGAGGCAATAAATCAGACAGGAGGAATCTACTCAACCTTCTCCCACAGAGCAGCAGGTAGATTCGAGCCAAGTGCCTTTAAGATTGCAACACAGCTTCTTACCATTCAGCCACCAGAGTAGCCACTGTGAATTTTATGGGAAGTTCTTATTACAAAGTTGAGCTACAAATACAACCAAGGCAGGGGAAGTAAAAGATGTGCCTTGGATGAAGAATTGATCAAAGAAATACACAAAAGACTAACGGAATTCTACTATACCATTTGGAGACAGTACACTTCATTAATGTGGCTCCAGATGTATCAGGGGTACACTAAATTTTATAAATTACTATCAGTTATCTTCTAGAGAACTTAAATGAGCGCCCTACTGAGGATGATCGCATACTGAGCAATGACACTGATAATCAGAAATGACAATTTAAACAAAATTAATTAAACAAGTTAAAAAGGCTGTAATAATACTCTATCTGGACTTTCGGCTATAGCCTAACATTGTAATAGTGAAAATTGCTTTAAGTTTTTACTACTATAACATTGTACATATCAATAGAGTAGTAATATTTTTTAACTCTTAAGAGATATAGTAATTATTTACTACCTTTCAAAATTAAGAAAAATAAGATCAGTAATATAGATCCTTAAAATTTAGAAAGGAATAAACATTTCAAGCAATCCAAAACAATTACTTAGTAAACATAAACTCATTCTGGTTACAGAATCAATGCTATTTGAATGCAAGTCTGTGATCCAGGGTGGAGAAGGCTTAAAATTATCCATTTGGATGCAATCTTCTACTATATTTAAGGAGGATCCCAACCAGATAAAGTAGCTAGCTTAGCCTTTTTATTAGTTTTATTACTAAATATACAACTTGCTGCCTGGCCATTTGCTCACTGGGCTATGCTGACAACACTAATAAACAGCTCATGATGATGTCTATCACAAAGAGTTATTGTTGAGAAATAAAACTACTTCTCACCTTTCAACCTGGAAACTGAAAGGCCTGAAATGCCCTGGCCACGCTATCTACAGGAGCACAGTTCCTTTCACAGCACAGTTTATTTCCTCCATATGTCTTTTCATATGACATGAAAATCATTTCTTTTGTAGCTGTTGACTCTGTCTCTTTCCCACTAAAACCGAAGTAACTTTATGGGAAATTCACCACCTGTCTTAATCACTCAGTACTACCTCTAAAGTGATCCCAAGGGATGTTCTCACCTGTATTAACCCATAGAACAAATGCTGTGGAAATTATGTAACTTAAGACCAGATGAGCTGTGGGAGGATATCACAAATATCATCCAGGAAGAATGCAAAATGTCATTACAGAGAAAGAGGAAGAAGAAAATACTCTCAAAGTTATTCTATAAAGCAAGTATACCAAAGAATACCCTTAAACCAAATTCAGCAAAACACACCACTTAGATCAAAACAACTATGAGGTATCATCTCACCCCAGTCAAAATTGCAAAACGTAACAGAACAACAAGCAACAAATGCTGGCGAGGTTGTGGAGAAACTGGAACCCTTATTCACTGTTGGTGGGAGTGTAAAATGGTACAACCACTGTGGAAGGTGGTATGGCGCTTTCTCAAAAAGTTGCAAATAGAGATACCATTTGACCCAGCAATTCCACTACTGGGAATATACCCCAAAGAGACCATAACTGATATCCAAGCATATATATGCACACCCATGTTTATTGTGGCTTTGTTCACAAAATCAAGGAATTGGAAACAACCTAAGTGCCCATCAACAAACAAATGCATAGAGAAGCTGTGGTATATTCACACAATGTAATACTATGCTGCACTAAAAAACAAGGAACTCATGCACTATTATTAAAAATGGGTGACCCTGGAGGACAT